TGTCACTCTGACAGGAATATACCACAAATGGGATGGCCTTAATAAACATGAGTTTATTCTTACAATTTGGAGGCTTTAAGTCCAAGTTCAAGTGTCAGGCTCTAGGGGCTGGGTAAAAACCCCTCAACCTTGGGGTCCAGCTCTGCCTCCTGCTCCTGGCCCACTGGAGCTAGAGGCGTTTCTTCACTCAAACAGCTGCTTGCTGCTGAGGCTGAGAAGCCCCAAGGTTGACAAGTAAAAAGGCACAGTCCCAATGGTACCAAGCCACACAGCAGGCCATTAATTCAAGTCCAAGGTCAGCAGAGCATGGCAGGCTGCTCAACAAAGACACGGACAGCTACATGCAGGGTCCAAGCATGCCATAAGCTAGAGACCATTCCCAAGGCTTCCCTTATATACAGGAAGCAGACCACATCCCAAAGGCAGCTACTCAGCTGCTTGTGGTAGATCCCACCATGGAATTGATTGCCAGTCTCATCATGGGAAATAACTACCACCAGCTGCCTAGCCACTCAACCAGGCCCAACCAATCTGACACACAAACAGAACTACCACAAACACAGTGGCATTACGGAAGAGGAAGATATAGATGGGTGTATGGGAGATACAGACAACAAAGATGAATCCTTTTACACATACAGTACTGCATTGTCAGTGAAGGCAAACATTCATATATGGGTGGATAGATGGGTGGACAGGCAGAAATATTAAGTCTGTCTATGCAGGGGGGAGTGTGCCCATGATCATGTATAGGGTTGGCAGACAATATTTCTACAAGTGTATTTGTATGTTCTGTAAGAATTCCCAGGTATACAGTAGAGTTGACAAGGGACAAGGTTGTAGTCACTTCTTGGCCACAACCAGCTACCCAGAGGGAGTGAATAGTTGGACCTGTGGGCTCAGGACCATAGCTACAGGGGTCATCAAGCTCAATTGGCATAACATACTACACAAAAACATTGTTCCACATCCTACTTTGGCAAGTAACAACTGGGATCTTAAAAGCTTGCAAACAGCCATCTAGATGCAATCATGGATCTTCCCTCATCCGGAGCAAAGAAAAGTGAAGGAAACCAAAGATGCATGGAAACTATCAGTCCAAGCAACTGGTACACTATGCAATCCTCATCCTATATGACTATGAGACCAGAAGAACTAAAGAGTGCCTAGCTACCACTGTCAACCACTAGTGGGGGATCTCTGTAGGAGATCCTGGATAGAGTGGGAGAAAAATGTGGAACAAAACTCAAAATCATTAAAAAGGAAAAAAAGGGGGAGGGTACCAGGTTTGCTAGTCTGATAGAGCCTGGTGGAACCCCTGAGACCATAGACCCTAGCTGCCCTTCAGATCTGGAATTGAACCCACTCCTGTGGCTTCCAGCCAAACAAAAGATAGGCATATGAGCTGAACACTCCTCGGAAGGAAGATGGGGCAATCTACTTCCGTAGTGATACTACCTTGGAAACCCAAGGAGGGGTCGCTATGAGTCGGGTCCAACTCGACGGCACATAACAACAACAAGGAGATACACTCCTTGGAGAGATCAGTCATGGGAGAATAAAGGGCTGTGTATGCACAGGGAGACAGCTCAGGGGGAGCAGGAGTACAAGGGAAGGAAGGACACAAGGAAGAAGTAACTATAGGGAGGAAGTGAGAGGAACTGTTGCATTGTGGGAAATTGCAGTCAATGTCATGAGACAAAGCATATGTGAGCTGCTGTATGGAAAGTGAATTTGATCTGTAAACTTTAACTCAAACCACAATAAAAAAATTAAAAATAAAATATTTTTAACATATATGTTAGGCATTCGCAACCAGGCTAGTCTAAATTGAAGTCTTTTTTTATTTTCTTCCATTTCAGGTCTGATGAGATTATCATAACTCTAGGCAGATAAATATCTCAGAGTATATGATAACTCATTAAAATATAGATAAATAAGAAATTTAAATTCATAGTAAATTCTGTTTTTTTAACATGTTGAAAACATAAGGAGACCTGATATATTTATTACTTTAATTAAAATCCATGCAAATTTGATTGAATATATTTATTAATGTTAAGGCATGTTGTGTTGTTGTTATGTGCCGTCAAGTCAGACCTGACTCATATCGACCCCTCCTTGGGTTTCTGAGGCAGTATCACTATGGAAGTAGATTGCCCCATCTTCCTTCTGAGGAGTGGCTGGTGGGTTTGAACTACCAACCTTCTGGTTAGCAGTCAAGTGCCTTAAGCACTATGCTACCAGAGCGCCATTAAATAGGCATGTAGAGGTTTGATAATACTTGGTATTTTGGTTACCTGGTGCTGCTCTGATAGGAATATACCACAAATGGGATGACGTGAACAAACAGGAGTTTATTCTCTTACAATTTGGAGGTTTTAAGTCCAAGTTCAAAGTGCCAGGCTCTAAGGGCTGAGTGAAAGCCCCTCAACCTTGGGCTTCAGCTCTGCCTCCTGCTCCTGGCCCACTGAAGCTAGAGGCTTTTGTTTACTCAGATAGCTGCTGGCTGCTGAGACTGACAAGCCCAAGGTTGACAAGTAAAAAGGCACAGTCCTGATATTATAAAACCACATTGTTGTTGTTGTTAGGTTCCGTCAAGTGGTCCAACTCATAGCGACCCTATGCACAGCAGAACAAAACACTGCCGGATCCCATGCCAGCTCCATGATTCTCGCTATACTTGAGTCCATCGCCGATGCCACCTTGTCAATCCATCTCGTTGAGGGCCTTCCCCTCTTTCATCGACCTTCCACCTTACCAAGCATGACATCCTTCTCCAGGGAATGGTCTCTTCTGACAACATGACCAAAGTATGTGAGACAAAGTCTGGCCATTCTCACCTCCAAGGAACATTCTGGCTGCACTTCCTCCAGGACAGACCTGTTAGTTCTTTCAGCAGTCCATGGTGCTTTCAACATCTTTCACCAAACCACATGGCAGGCCAGTAATTCAAGTCCATTGAAAGTCCCAAGGTCGGCTGAGCATGGCAGGCTGCTGAACAACGACACAGCTACATGCAGGGTCCAAGCATGCCATAAGCTAGATACTGTTCCCCAAGCCTTCTCCTTATATACAGTAAGCAGACCATATCCCTAAGGCAGCTACTCAGCTGCTCACTGTAGAGTCCACCATGGAGTTGATTACCAGTCTTATCATGGGGAATACTATATCCAGCTGCCCAGCCACTCAACCAGGCCCAGCCAAGTTGACACACAAACTTAACTACCACACTTGGCTAACTTCATAAGTTTATTTTAATAGGTGTGGAAGCAATGGCTTAGATTTTAAAGGAATGTTAACAAAGCACATTTAACAAGGAGCTCTGGTAGCATAGTGCCTAAGGCACTTGCCTGCTAACCAGAAGACTGGCAGTTCAAACCTACCAGCCACTCCTTGGAAGGAAGATTGGGCAATACTGCCTTGGCAACCCAAGGAGGGGTCGCTATGAGTCAGGTCCGACTCGACGGCACATAACAGCAACAACAACAGATGTCCTCTCTACTCACAAAAGTCCTGTTAATGGGGAATGAGACACATCAAATTAGGAGGAAGCTGCTGGTTATCACATATACATTATTCAACAAATATGTACCAAATGCCTACTACATGCACATACTGTTCTTGGTGCTATAGATACATTAGTGAACAAACTAAAATCCCTACTCTCCAATAGCCAATGTATTCAATTGCCAATGAAAGACTAAAATCACAGACCTTGTGGAACTTAAGGTTTTAGTAGAAGGAAAAGACAACAAATACATAAATGCAGCGTGTCGAATGGCATAAAAGGGGCAGGGAAGTGAGGAATTGCTCTTTCATACAGTAGTCTGAGAATTTATCTGCATAGAAAAATTGATTTTTGAGTGGAAATCTGAAGGCAAAATATTAGTCTTTTTAAAAAAATTATCTGCATTATCTGTAATATATATACAAGAGTAGTAATAGTATACATATTATTTTGTAACCTTATTTTGACTTATGATTATGAACATACATTTTTTTCATGCCCATGAATGTAGCTCTATATTGAAATACTAAAGTGTTCCAAGCTGTTTTTTAAAGCTAGAAAGGACATGGTCCCCAGGGAGGGAACTCAGTGGCCAGGGTTCAAGGGGGAGAGACAAGGGTTTTTGCCTTTGAGCCCCTTTTTACGGATTAGGTTTACCCACTACAAAGTTAAGGAGCTTTGGTGGTGTAATGGTTAAGGCATTTGACTGTTAAACGAAAGGTCGGTGGTTCCAACCCATCAGCTGCTCAGCAGAAGAAAGTTGAGGCAATCTGTTTCCGCAAGGATTTACAGCTTTGGGAAAACAATAGTGGTCGCTATGAGTCTGAGTTGACAACGTGAGGGCAGTGAGTTTTGTTTGGTTTACTACAAAGTTAATCCTACCTCCTTAATCCAAGAGATAAATCCTTGATTTTAGGTCTTCTCTATCTCCCTGGGCCTAGCCTCACTTCTCAGAGTTCAAGTGCAGCTGTGTACCTAGATACCGAGGTAAAGACTGGGACCCGCGCTTCCGTGGCTTCCCAGACAAGGCCTCGAGCCTTAAACTCGGCCTCTGCCTCTGCCTCCAGGCGCGCTGGGAAAAAAAAGGACGAGTTCAGACAGAAAAGCCCTTTCGAGAGCGCCGGGTGGAACCGGCGAGCCTGGTGGCTACTTGACGGCCCTAGCTACTCTGAGAGGCGGTAGCTAGAGGGGACCGAGCCGCGCCCTAGACAGCCAAAAAGGCCCAGGGCGGCGCTGAGGGAATCCCAGCCTCGCGCACCCTCTCCAGAAAGATCCCAGGATCCAACGCATTTGCGCGGTTTGGGGAAAACACCCAGGTGGCTGGATTGGGACGCGAGGCCTGGTATCCAATGGCAAGGGCGTAGTTAGGCGGGGCTAGCCAAAAGCGGTTTAAATAAGCGCTCAGCGCGGGTGTAACTTCCACTGTGCGGCTTGAGCGCGGCCACAGAATTCGCACCCTGCAGTCGTTCCCTGCGAGGCCTACCGCAGTATGGCCACTTCTAAACAGTTTCCGACGCTCGTGCAGTTCGGAGAGATAGATGAGGAATTTGAGGAGCTCAGTTACGTTCACAGGCGGCCCCAGTGGTTCCACGCCGAACATCTGATGAATCCGTATAGAGTCCACCTCGAGGCGTGGCTGGTGGAAGCGATCTTCGGTGAGTGGTCCCAAGAGGGGCGGCCTCCTGCCCCCACCTCCCCAGTCCGACTGTGACCCAGTAGAACCCTCTCCAGTGGCTCTAGACCCAAGCCAGTGCCCAGGAAGCTTCCTGCCATGCCCCTTTCCTTCCCAAATTCCAGTAAGCACCCCTCCTCTTTGCTCCCCGCGCAGGTCCGGGCTGGGAAAATATCCCGCGCGTCGAGTGTGTTTCACAGACCTTTCTTCGTGTGAGACTATTGGACACCAAAGGGGAGGCCGAGATCTTGATATTTGGGCGGCCTTATTACCAGAAGGACATAGCCAAGATGATCATGAAGTTGGCCAAGTATCACCGTCAGCGCCGGGCGCGAAGTAAGAGGCTGGGTTGTGCAGGGAAGGGCCTCCTGGTTAGGCCCTCGGTTCCTTGGGGGAGGGATCCTAACGCTTCCTGGGGACCCTAGCAGCGGTCTCTCCCTCCCACGTGGCCAGAGAGAGGGCTTCTCTTTGCAAAGATGTGGACTCTAGAATGAGAATAGCTTCTGCTTCCACCCCTGCAGCCAGTACTGATAACGTACCTGCGGCTTCCTCACACTACTCTCCTTCCAGGTTCAGAGAAGGTCCCTGCCCCGGAGGCCGGCACCCAGCAGGCTCCCGAAGCTGCCCCGGAGGCCCGCACCCAACAGGCTCCCGAAGCTGCCCCGGAGACCTGCACCCAGCAACCTCCTACTGTAGGGGTTACCAAGTTGTGAAGGATACATGCCTCGGGGTGGGAGCCATACGGAGGTTAAAATGGAAGTCCTGTCATTGTTCTTGTGTTAAGTGTTTGCAAACACAAGACCTAATAAAGAATCGAACTTCCTCACTGTTAATTGGAAAGGAGGAGGGGAGGGAGAAACGTGTTTCTCCAATAGCCAAGTTGTCCTCCATGCTGCTCTCTACCTAAAGGCTCCTAGCCCAGTGAGGTTGCAATCTCTTCTCTAGCCCTCTGCACAACACCTTCCCTGCTCAAAACCAAAAACTCATGCCGTTGAGTCGAATCCGACTCATAGTCACACTCCTTGGGTTTCTGAGGCAGTATCACTATAGATGTAGACTGCCCAACCTTCCTTCCGAGGAGTGGCTGGTGGGTTTGAACCTCTAGCCTTCTAGTTAGCAGTCAAATGCTTTAGGCACTAGGCCATCAGAGCTTCCCCCAGCCCACCCCCTCTGGTACTTCTTAAATTGTGCTCTGGTTTCTGGTGCCTTACTGGGAAGCCCTCCTAGCACTTGGTGGTTGCAATCAAGATGCTGTGGGAGAGCCAAAACCTGGTTTCAACCCTGACCTTGCAACTGAGGATGAGGACCACCTGAACTTACAAGGCCCGCCCGGGCATCGTGCAGCACCTCAGAAACTTCCCAACTTGGGCACCTAGCGATAGGGAGCGAACTGGGAGAAAGAGCCAGACTTAACTGCTAGGGTCCTCAAATCTTGCCTGAGTCACCGGCCCTTCCATGAGGGGTGATTTGAGCTAGACACAGTATGACTTCCCTGGGTTATTACAGCCCGCCGAGTACCTCGGGCTTGCTCTGTCTGAGTGCTAATGGGCTACTTACTGGAACGCCTGATCCAGTCTAGGATACAGACTGTTAACAGACGTGTCCTAGCATTAAACAATAGCATGCATTAATCTTAACCAAGAAAACGCTGTGGATTCGAGTCAGAGACCCTCTCCTTGGCCCAGGCAGTATCTCTACGGAAGTAGATTACCCAATCTTCCTTCGAAGGGGTGGCTTATGGGTTTGAACCTCCAGCCTTCTGATTAGCAGTCAAATGCCTTAGGCACTATGCCACCAGAGAAAAATTCTCATTAAAAAAAAAAGAATTGCATTGTCATTTTCACTATTGTCTAGCAATTTGCTGGAATAAACCCAAAGCCAAACCCACTGCCCTGTAGCTGATTCTCACTCCGAGACCCTATAGGACACAGAAAACTGCCCTGCTGGGTTTTCAAGGCTGTAGTCTCTGCGGAAGCCAACTGTCACATCTTTCTCCAGTGGAGTGGCTGGTAGATGGAACCTTTTTCAGTAAGCAGCCAAGTGCTTAACTGAGCTACCAGGGCTCCTTTGATTGCTGGAAGAAAGATCTCTTTACCACTACTACTACAAAATAAGAATAGTATTTGATTGTTTGGATAGTAAACATTACATGTCCAATTTTTTTTTTTAATTAGGCAATATAAAAAGTATTAAAATCAGAACTACTCAAAATCTCACTACCCAAAAAACCTTCAGGTACCTTTCCATTCCTCTAATTTTTTTTTTTTAAGTAAACATTTTGATGCATAACCTTCTTATAAAAAATGCACATGAGAAGAAATTCATTAAGCAATAAAAAAGAACACAACCATTTAATCAGCACCCAGAGATGAAAAAGAATACTACCAGCACTACAGAAGCACCAGTTTGTATCCCTTCCCTAAATTGCTTTTCCCTGGATAACTACTCTTGACTTAAGTGATTCTGACGGGTATGTGGTGGCATTGCAGTTTTTTTAAGTTAGTTTTGTAATGAAAATATACATGACAAAACATTCCCCAATTCAACAGTTTCTACATGTATCATTTAGTGACATTGGTTACATATTTCATTTTGTGCTACCATTATCACTTTCCTTTTGTGAATATTCCACCACCACCATTAAAATAAACTCAATGCCCCCTGATCAAAAACACCCCCTCTCCCCTTCCTCCACTCCGTGGTAACCACTAATCTTTGATTTCTATATATTTGCTTATTGTATATGAGATGATACAATATTTGTTCTTTTGCAACTGCCGTATTTCCCTCAGCAAAATATTTTCAAATTCATTCATGTTGTAGTATACTCTATGGCTGTGTGATAATTCCACTGTACGTATATACACATTTTTACCCTCTCGTGCAATCTCGTGCACCATCATTTCTGACCTGATGCCTACACATTTGAAGTTTTTCCACTACCTCTTTAGATGCTAGCCAGATGCTGGGGGTTACCCAGACCCCCCCTCCCTCCTGACTTGCTGCTTCCCACTACTTCCTTGGGTTCAATAATGCACTAGAATGACTCACGGAGCTCAGGAAAGTTCTAAAAGTTTTATTATAGCAAAAAAGATAAAAATGAAGGGACACATAAGGCAAGAGTTCTTAATACAAAGCTTCGATGTTCTAAGGTGGGAATATGCTACCCTGCCACAAGGTGGTCCCTGGGTAGCTTAAATGGTTTGTACTCTACTAATCTAAATATTTTTAGAAAACTAAAAGAAAGGCCTGGCAATCTTCCTGTGTACAGTCCAGCCAAGAAGACCCTGGGGAGCAGTTCCTCTCTGTAACACATGGGTTACCATGAGTCATAATCCATTTGACAGCGATTGGATTCGCTTTTTTGGTACATTCCCATATACATTATGTTAGCAAAGAGTAAATGTATGGAACTTCCATGATCAGAGCCTTTATTGAGTAAGCCTTTATCCTACTTAATAAAGCATGATTACTGAAACATGCTGCCCTCCCTTGAGGTTGGCTGAGATAGTGAAATAGGACTTTCAGGCCTGGCCACCTAAAAATCACCTCATTAATATAACCTGTTATATTATGTAGATGTGGTCTGAGTCACCATCAAAGGCACTTCAATCACTGGGAAAATCTCAGCGTTTTAGAGATTATCTCTCAGGAATCAAGGACAAAGACCAAATTCTGTGGATAAAATTCTTTATCCCACAGTTTGCCCATCTTCATAGCAGACTTATACTATATATAATGGTTCATGTTTCAGCCAAATTTATTGATAATAATTGCCATGTTTTCATGTATAAACTAAAATGCTTTCTAAAATAACACGTGAGTGATCTGGCCAGATTTTTCTGTTTCTGAGGTGGGGAACTCCATTGCTTTCCTAAAAAAACTTCCACTGTGTTGGAGTCTTCAGTTTAACCCAGCTTCATTATCATCTATTAAGTGATAATCTTTTTCCAACAGAAGATCCATTCTAGATAAGGCTTACCCTTAAGGTCAATAAGAATTGCCCATAAGGTTAAGTCCCTTTAGTTCCTCTCTAAGATCACCACTTAATTTCCAACAAATCAATATATTGATTTAATATGTGCTCTTTACAACTAAAGAGATGTAAAGCAGTGGTTCTCAAAGTGACAATGTCAGTAGCACTGGCATCACTTATGAGCTTGTTGGAAATGCAAATTCAGGGGCCCTCACCCAATAATTTATAATCTCTGCAGAAGGGGTCTAGGGATATTTAATAGGCACTTAAAGTGATTCTTAATATACTTTAAAACTTGAGAAATACTGAAACCAAATCAGATCAGACATTTGGAGGTCATCTGCTCCCCCATCTCTGTCCCCTGTGTTTGAGGACCTGATTCTAACCATAAAGCCATAAATTAGTTAGTTTCAAAATGGTATAAATTTAAAAAACAAAATAACACTTAACTAAGTCAGCAGAGTTTTAATTCCCATTGGACCAAAAAAGCATGGAAATTCATTTCTTTATTAAAAGAGCTCCAACTCATGTTTGCGCCAAAATAATCAGTCAGGATACCTGAGAATGGAATGCAGAGATTTAAGCTACTTGTTTCCCTTCAACTTTAGTAGCAGAAGGATTGTGCTCATCCTATTCCAGAAGATACTTATGCTCACTTAAGCAATGGGATGCTGGGGACTCCGGGGACTTGAAGCATGGGCCTTCGAGAACTCTTTAAGTTGTTCCATCTTCTCACCTGGAGAAAAAGCAATGGATATCAACCACCAGTAAGGAAAAAATGCTTGCTGTTTTCATAATCGAAAAAGAAGAAGACTCTATGAGATGAATTGACACAGTGGCTGTGAAAATAGGCTCAAACATCACAAAAATTGTGAGGATGGCACAGGACCAGGCAGTGTTTTGTCCTGTTGTACATAAAAAACAAAAGCAAACTCACTGCCGTCGAGTCGATTTCTACTCAAAGTAGACCCTCTTTGGGTTTCCTAGGTGGTAAATCTTTATGGGGGGAGCTCTGGTAGCATAGTGGCTAAGACACTTGCCTGCTAACCAGACGGCTGGTGGTTCAAACCCACCAGCCACTCCTCGGAAGGAAGGTTGGGCAATCCTACTTCTTTAGTGATAACTGCCTCGGAAACCCAAGGAGGGGTCGCTATGAGTCAGGGCCGACTCCACGGCACATAACAACAACAACAACAACAAATCTTTATGGAAGTAGACCGCCCACTCTTCCTTCTGAAGAGTGGCTGGTGGGTTTGAACCGCCAACCATCTGGTTAGCAGTCAAATGCCTTAGGCACTATGCCACCAGAGCTCCCAGGGTAGCTCTAAACAACAACCTGAACTACCCTCCCAAAGGTATTCCCAGGAGTTGGATGCAGTTTCCTGGTGACACTGCAAAAAAGTTGTTTTGAGAAGGAAGACAGGTTGGAAAGAGGCCAAGCAAGGCCAAAGGCAGACCCTGGTGCTGTCCCTACATCCAGGTTCTCTATGATCCTCACTTTGGTGTCCTCCATTCCTGTGCAATGATGTCAAGGCCAGGTCCTGACTCTTCATCTGATTCTGTACCCAGGGCTGCCCAACAATTGTGATTTTGGCTAGGTCCCTAGAGTCCACAGAACCTAGCTCATCCATTCAACTTTCAGAATCATAGCTTGATCTGGACCTAATCAGGCAAGAGGAGACTATAATGTCAAAGTGGTGCAGTTTTGGGGCTAGATATGAAGAGAATGTTGGCAAGGGAAGGGAAGAGATGGAAGTTGGGCATAATAGCATCAAACAGTGGTCTGAGAATCTGGAAAAGAGGCAACAGAGAGTAGCTGGGCTGCCATCTCAGACTGGGATCATTCCCAGTCTGGCCCACAAGCACATTCCGGACTAGCTTATAGAAGATCAGCTCCACCAACCACATCTCCAAGTAAAACACCAGCAGGTCCTTCAGTTCCTCCACCAGAAACCACCATGGCGACATGCAAATCTCTGGTCCTTGATGTGATAACAGTGAGTCTGGCCCCTGCTGGGCCTCAGCACCACCAGTGTTGTCTACCATGTTGTTGTTGTTGTTGTTGTTGTTGTTGTTAAGTGCTGTCGAGTCGTTTCTGACTCATAGCGACCCCATGCACAGCAGAATGAAACACTGCCCGATCCCGCACCAGCCCCACAATCCCTGCTATACTCAAGCCCATCATCGCA